TAGAAAATATAGTGAAGAAATAAACTCATATGTAAAGTTTGGTATCTGTTTTACTAAATCCTAAGTATTTTATTTCCTCATAATTTTCCTGCCTGCCCTTAGCGTTCTAGAAAGAAAACTTGGGGTAGAAATCCCCATCTTACATGCAGACATTAGCTTTCAATGGCATAATCACCTTCAACACTTTGGGATTCGCTTTCTATCTCAGTTTCTCCCTCTGTTATTTAGTGGAGATACTGTATGAAGCCCAAAATGTTAAGGGACTGCCAGGGAGAAAAAGAAAAGTGTTTCATTTTGGCTTCCTGCCTTTGCTTTCCTAACTTTGTATGTATTAGGCATCTAAAGAAAGGAAGAAATCATTTAGGTTAGAATTCATGCTGAGAATATGAAGAAATATACATATGACAGGCTTTTTCCAACTAGAAAAGAGTAATTTTCTATTCTCACCTAAGAAAATAAACAAGAATCTTTCCTCTACTAATAAGAAGCTCTATCAGTTATAAGATGGGAGGTAAAAGTAACGATGTCTCTGCCCAATTCTCCTCTCAGAAGTTACCACAAAATAACAAGAACAGTAACAACCACAGCACAATTACAGGTGCTCAACTTTATCTTTAATGAAACCAGGAAACACCTAAAACTTCAAACTATAATATATGAAGATTGCACATGGTTGGGTGAATTTCAACCATTGGGCAGATCAAAGGTCAAATTTACAAGTGTGTATGTGGAGGGGAGGAGGGAGGTTACCACTGAGAAGCTTGGTGGTTTACCCTGCCAAATTCCAGGAATTCTCAGAAATGGAAGCCCAAAGCCTGGAGGAGAGGAGGCTGAGAACAAGAAGACTATTTGTTTAAGGAGCAATTGGATGCCAATGCCCACCTTCATTCCTAGAAATTAGATGACTACTCTTCTTGTGCCCTAAGAGACCTGAGAGATCCATTTCTTAGAGGAATTGCAGAAACAGTTTTTGGAGTTGTGGATACCAAGCACAGAGGAGAGAAGTGCTTCGGTGCTGGATAGAAAACCAGGGAAATACAAGAAACACGTTGTATCTAATGAGGAGGTCTTCCATCATCTAAGCTGAACATACTAGTAGCCAGCCTTCTATCCCGAGGACAAGATTGGAGGATTCTTCTGTTAGGAAACTCAGGAACTGACCAGACCTACAAATAAAAACCTAAAAACCTAAAAAATTAAAACCTGGATGCCTGCCCAATGCTGTATAGTGAGATTCACTAGTTGTCAAGCCCTACTGCTGTGGTTTGAATGTGTCCCCTCCAAAATCCAGGTGTTACCAATGTGATGGTATTAAGAGGTGAGCCTTTAGGAGATGATTAGACTGCAAGGGCTCCTCCCTCATGAATGGGATTAGTGCTCTGATAAAGGGCCTTGACAGAGGGAGCTGGTTCCCTGCTGCCCTTCTGCCTTTTATCATGTAAGGATGCAGTAAGAAGTCCCACACCTGATGCCACTGCCTTGATCTTGGACTTCCCTGCCATCTAAATTGTGAGATAATACATTTCTGTTCGCTCTAAATTAGTCAGTGGCATTTTGTTCTAACAGCACAAAATGAACTAAGATGCCACCAATAGAGTGGGGCCTCCAGTCAGCATTTTAATGTCTTGTTTTTAAATAGGAGAAATTGACCAGATATTTAAGGAAAACCTTCAACATGAAAAGTACAGGTACAAACCAACCCCTGCCCCAAAAGATAATAATAAAAAGACACTAAGAGTTAACAGAGGCAAATCAAGGAATGGAAAAAATGCTATAAAGTATTGCTATTTAATATGTTTAGTGACATAAAATAAGAATGCAAATTAATGAAACCAGTCTAGTCAGAGCAAAAAGCACTTATAAATTAAAAATTATAGTTGAAATTAAGAATGCTCCTCATTCAGGAAGATGAAGTCAAGGAAAACACCCAGTAAGAAGTAACATTAAAGAAATGGATAATAAGGGAGAAAAGCTAAGATAATTAGAGGCTTAATCTAGGAGGTTCAGTATCCTAAGAAAATAGGAGTTTCATAAAGAAAAAGCAGAGAAAATGACAAGACATTTTCAAAACATTAACAAAAGATAGTTTCCTTGAAAATCTGGAGTAGAGTCCAGTCTGCTTCTGTGGGGTAGGTAACAACCCCTTACACAGGCTATACTGGTACAGTTTTGTCACTGTTGTTATTTTGTTTTGTTTTCTTTACATTGAATGTACATATGTGAATAGGAATTGTGGTCCTGCATATTCAGATGCTGTGAATCTCAGGTACATTTTTATCTTTAACTTAGGCTACAGTGGTGGCTGCAGAAAGTGACCTCAAGTGTAATGGTAGCAATTACACCACCAAAGACAGAGGTGAGTGGACTTGGAATCCGTGGGAGGAGATGGTAATAAATACTAGCTCACAGTAGGACGCACAGGCACCAAGCTGTGTTGCATTTTAATATAAAAATAATGAAAGTATTTTAAAAACCAAAGTATTTTATTTCTTGCTATGAAGGCTCCTAAAATTTTGAGTAATAATAAAAATCACATATGGGAAAAAGCTATGTTCTATCTTATCTATAAAGAAAATTTATTTGTGACTTATAGGTTCATTAGTAAGAGGTAGATGTCATTCTTTATTTTTTAAACAAAAATTACCTTTCCAAGTGTAAAAAACAGGGGTTGTCAAGTAATATGGATGATAAAATCTTATGAAAAAACAGTTTCCTTTAAATTTATGATCATAAAAATGTGGAAAGATACAAAAAATACCTTCCCAGCAGAGTGGAATTGGTGAGGAGTATGTCAGAGAAATTACTAACTTTTTCTTAATGTGTTTATTTCATGCTCTCTTAAAATGAACATCTTTTCCTTTTTTTTTTTTTTTTTTCTGAGATAGGGTCTCACTCTGGTCGCTCAGGCTGGACTGCAGTGGTGTGATCTTGGCTCACTGAAGCCTCGACCTCCCGGGTTCAGGTGATTCTCCCATCTCAGCCTCCCCAGTAGCTGGGACTACAGGCATGCACCACCAGGGCCAGCTAATTTTCTTTTTTGTTTCTTTCTTTCTTTTATTTTTTTAAAATTTTTAGTAGAGAGATGGGATTTTGCCATGTTGCCTAGGCTGGTCTTGAACTCCTGGCCTCAAGCAATGCACCTGCCTTGGCGTCCCAAAGTGCTGGGATTACAGGAGTGAACCAATGTGCCTGGTCATCTTACTTATATAAATAAAAAAGATAATACATTTAAAGTGATATTCATTTTTACCAACATTTTATATTTTCAAACACACCACAAAGTTGAAAGAATTTTGCAGTAAATTTTTGTATACCTACCATTAATCCATCTTCTGTTTTGATGTATTTCAAAGTAAATTGTAAACATTAGTATACTTCCCTTCTAATCACTTAAATGTGTATATTATTAATTAGAATTCTATATTTGTTTACATTTTTTGAAATGACTTTCACTATAAAATATGTATTTATCATAGAAAATTGGCAATTAGATAAAAAATCTGTAGATCTATAAATTAGTTTTTGTTTGTACCAAATATTGTGCTATGTACTTTATTAACACCATTTCTTTTAATCCTTTAACAAGCCCTAAGAAGTCACATTATCCCCATTTTACAAATAAGGAGTCTGTGAGAAAATTGCCCCAGTTCCCAGAGTGGTAAAGTTAGGATATGCATCCAAGTATGTTCAATCCCCTTACTCTTAACTGCATGCCATCCTGCTAGCTTTGTGTCCACCCCACTGTGAGATAACCACTGATGACTCCTCTCTAAACCCTTTTCTAGGTGTATGTATTTCCACTAAACTGGGGCTACGTTGTATGTGTTGTTTCATAATTAGTTTTTTTTCTCATGTATAAACCTCTTCCTTCAGCTCCTTGTTAATGGCTGCAGAGTATTCTGTCAAGTGAAGATACCGTATTTAATGACTACTTATTCTTGTATATTTTTCCAGTTTTTGCTATTATCAAATCTTCTTGCATACTACTAATTTTATCCTTAGGATCATAAGTAGAATTGCTTACTGAGAGGTTATGCATAGTTTCCACATTGTTAATACAAGTTCCCCAATTTGCTTTTACCAATCTCCCCCAGGAGAATGTGGGGAAACCTGACGAACAGGGAAACCTGACTAACAAGTTTCCCGACATTCTACACTGACATCAAATATAACTTTAAAAAATCATTTCTAGTTAGATAAGCAAAAACATGTATGTTTTGTTTAGCATACCTTTGATTGTTAATGAGGTTGAACGTATTTTCACCTATTTATGTATCATTTAAGGTTTCCCTTTCAGATACTGCTTGTTCAGATTCTCAGAGTTCATTTTTAAATTAGTCTCTTGAAGAATTCCAACCCATTTCACAGTGAAGCTAATGTTAAGACTGAAATTTTATTTTTCATGCAGAGTTCACTCTTTGAGTGGTGCAGTAAAGGCAGTCACACTTGGAGTACCTCAGTGATGGCAGGAAGGTTTATGTTTTCCTCTTTGTGACAAGATAAATCTCTGTGAGATTGCTGTAAAGGTACGGAGGATTTTAGAATTCATTTGCACAGAGGTTCCGGGAGCTTCCAGTTTGACAGGAGTGGCCTTGGAAGATTCGCCTGGGCAAACCGCAAGGGCAGATAGTTGGCTGGTTTAGTGATTGGCTTTGAAGCAGCACCAGATGCTATGGGCACCGGGAGGCTCTGGGCATGCCCTTCAGGGGAGCAGCCGAGTAGCAGAGGAGAGCGCCGTGGGAGAACATGGGCCACCCTGGGTGAGGACAGAAACAGGCAGAGGAAGTGAAGGAATTCTTTGAGGAGCAGAGGAGAGAGAGCTGGTAGTTCATCTCACTTTATCTGATTAATAATCCTCACCCCTTCTGCCTGCGCAGCTTGACTGTGAGCAAAATCAGAAATGTGCAGCTCATGACTTCTTGAGTCCTGCTTCCATGTGGGTGGTTGGGGTGGGGCGCAGTACCTCTTGTCCAGCATTAGATCTCAGAGGACTTGGGGGAGAGCATCTTTTGGCTGGCTTATTTAGGAAAAATATTTGGCCAGAATTCACTTACAGTTTCAACTACTTTCATTTTCCTATAATACAAGTTATAGGAGAGAAAAGGTGAAAAGAAGCCTATTTAAATTGTTAATATTGGTATTTATGAGTGATTATTTTTACTCTTTTCTATTTCTCTTTATATTCTATAATGGGTACATTTACATATGTAATAGAACTACTAATAAACTGTATATAAAATTTCTCCCCTGGCTGAGAACTCATCTTCTGCTAAGTTAGGTTCAAGAAACAAGAAATCCTGTTGTTTGTAAATATCCCTTTAAACAGAAGTTAATGCTTGTGAGTATAAGTTCTTCTGTATTGTTATATTGGCAATTTAAGCCTTAATAGAAAAGGGTGGTAGTTTGATAGTGGTGGTAACTTAAAGCCAGGATGGAGTGTTCCAGTTTCCCCAAGAGTCTGTGTGAACAATGTGACTGGCAGCATGTGGGCTTGTTAGGGACTCTGGTACCAAGGCAATCCATGCTGAGACCTGTTATATTTGCTCCAGTCTAGTGTGGTCCTTAGCTTAGAATATGTAGCTTAATCTCGGTGAGCGTGGATCCTAAAAATTCCATCAAAAAGGCTCTATTAGGAGAAGTTACACATAGGGAAACTTGCATAATGTAATGTCATTATTTCCCTTCATGAATGGTCCCACTGAATGAACAGGAAGGGTGGGGCCCTCCGTGAAACTTAAAGCCAGTCCCTCCAGTGAGGCTGGTATCAGCAGAGGGCCAGAAATGTAAGAAGTGCTTGAAGTGGGCATGAAAAAGTTCTTGAAAACTAAAAAATGGTACCATTGTATCTTTTGTTGACTTGAAATTCTTGGCATGTTAATTAGTCTATAAAAAGGGCCTTGACAATGTCATAAGGCAAGTTCTAAAAGCCTCAGGCTTTTAAACTTGAAGTAGCACAGTGAAGGACGGACCTCATGCAGAATGTTCACAATGAATCGCAAAAAGTGACAAAAGTTGATTAATTACTTATATGAAAACAAATTTGCAGTGATTATATTAACATTCTGAAGCCAGCCATTTCCTTCCATTTGCTTCTTGTGGTTGGGACATATCTTCCTCTTTGTTCATTTCCTAAAGGAACCATCTTTCATTTTCCCTCTTTTTTTGATAACCTGTTTCTTCCAAGGACTATAAATATCTGAGATTCACTGATCTAATGAAGACTTCCTCGTTGACAGAAATTCTTACAGAATTCAGTGGCAAAAATGAGCTCTATCTTTGAATCAAAATCTGAAATTATTTTTTAAAAGAAAGATAAAAATAGAAAATAGCAAGTTCTTTGCCTTGGGTAGGATGTTTGTGACAATTCAGAAACTGCCCTTGCAAAAATTATAACAGTAAGAAAATTATGACAGTGGAGGAGATATGATCTAGACAATCCCCTCTTGCCTTTATCCTTCGAGCTGCCTTAACTGTTAATGGGCATAGGCTTGGCTAGCTGTGGGAGATATTTATAGTTTATATGATTATAGCCATTCCCCCAAACACAACCATCTTTGTAAAGCTTAATGAGAGACCACCAGGTTAGGAAGATAGAGAAGCCTGGATTCTGCTAACATACGAGCATTGCCAGCCATTTTTTCTGGAGATCACAAGATATGCAACTTTCTCAATTACTTCTGCAGATAACATCATTATTGTAGAATCTAAGATTGCCCTTTGGAGATAACTTTTCAGGTTTTTTGCTTGTCCGACACCAATGATGGCTCTACCTGGACCTGCCAACCACTCCTGTGTCTCCACCCAGAAGCACTTCAGCCAGCAGGAGGATAATTTCCTATATCCCTATGACTGCTCCCCCAACTAATCAGCGGTAAGTACCCATTGCCTAGCCACCTCCACCTCTTCCCCCAAACTACCTTTGGAAAACCCCTAACTTAAGACGAGATTGATTTCAGTAATAACTGTCTCCCACATGGCATGGCCAGCCTTGTGTCAAGTAAACTTTTTCTTTACTGTAATGCTGTAGTCTTTGTTTGTGTACTGAGCAGGAAGAACCTGTTGGGATCTTTCAATTCTATTAAGTAGGTACATTAAAATACATCACCTCATGTCAATCCCTCATTCCCTCCACCTAATTTTAATCAACTAGTTGAATTTAAGAAAATAATCTTAACACTAAGTTGGCTACCAGCAAATGTTCTATTTTTAAAAATTATCTTTTATACATCTAAAAATTATATAGGAGCTTAAACTTGAAACAATTTAAGGTGTATAAAGTGCCTATCAGAATCTCTTATCTATAATAAATGTGAAATTAAAAGTAAAAAGTTTTGCATATTGATGGAGACATTTCTGTCTTGCCCTTGGTATGAGTGAGGTTCAACAAACATGAGGATCTACTTTCTCTTAAATGCTTCAGCTGTCTGGGGCACCAGGGCCTCCTGGATGGGTAGCATAGAAAGCTAAGAACTCTTTATTGCACTTGTTCATTTTTGGGTGGTCCACTGGCTAAAGCTTGCTATATTCAATGGAGCAGAATTTTCCAAAATGTATTCCATAGCACACCATCCCAAAACAGTCTCCATGAAAAAATGCATTACTCAACTGAGCTTGCAAAGCACTACTGATATGGTTTGGCCCTGTGTCCCCACCCAAGTCTCAACTTGAATTGTAATCCTTACATGTTAAGGCAGGGACCTGGTGGGAGGTAATTGGATCATGGCAGCAGACTTTACCCTTGCTGTTCTCGTGATAAGAGTTCTCACAAAATCTGATTGTTTAGTAAGTGTGGGGCTCTTCCCCCCGCTTCTCTCTTTCTTTCTCTCTCTGACCTGCTGCCATGTAAGACAAGCCTTCCTTCCCCTTTGCCTTCTGCTATGATTGTAAGTTTCCTGAGGCCTTCCCAGCCATGTGGAACTGTGAGTCAATTAAACCTCTTTCCTTTAGAAATTTCCTAGTCTTGGGCAGTTTCTTACAGCAGTGTAAAAATGTGTGAATACAACTACCGAATGAATATTATTGAGTAAGTTTAGTATTCTCTACTTAACCTGAAAGCCAATCTTTAGGCATGTCTGACTGGTGCTGATGAATACTAATAGTAATTTGCCTTCCCATCAGCCTTCATATGGTTACGATGCAGGGAATCCTTGTGCCTGCCTCCTAACTGCAACCAGACTCCTTCCCACCAGCTCAGTCTTTCTCTCACACCTCACCATTGCAATCTCCACAGACTCCAGCAAGGTTAACAAAGCCAGTGAGACATTAATTGACATTGTCATAACTCTGGCATGCATCTGCTGGCATAATAAAACACTTGGTGTTTTAAATCAATCTGTGGTGCAGCATTAGTGATAAGGTCTTTTGTCTCCAGGAAGCTTTTCAAGTGCACATTTCTCAATGAGAACAGCCTGGTCAGGAGGGAGACAGTGTTTCATGATCATCTCGCTTCAGACTGCAGAGTCTGACTGCTGGGTTTGCCATTACACATAATTACATTATACATAATTAATGGCTGAGTTTGCCATTAATTATGTGATCTTGGGCAGTTACTTAAATGTACCGTACTTTAGTTTCTTCACCTGTAAAATGGGAATGATAATGGGATCTACTTTGCGTAGGGTTGTTACAAAGGTTAAAGGAGATAGTACTTACATTAGAACAGTAACTGGGATGTGATTAACAATCAATAAGTAGTTATCATCATCCTAGTACTGTTATGATTATTTTCTCAGAAGTTTGGGTTGGAGTTAGCATTCATCTGATACCGTTTTTGAGAGTGTGTCTATAATTAGATCTTTCTGGTCTCTTTTGGAGGGCATATTACATTTAATAGGCATATAAGACTTGGTTAGTCTGCACTTAGACGGCTGAATCTTGAGGAACTGATGTTGAAAGGTTAGCACTCTGGAGCTGAATATGACTGCAAAAATGACCAGGTCCCACTCTCATTTTGCAGATCAAGAGCCTCAGGTCCAGAGAAGTATTTTTCCAAAGCCCCACAGTTTGCTATAGGTGGGGTTGACAAGAGAACCTAGGATTCCTGATTCCAGGTCTACTACACTATTCCACACTGCCCTAGTGCAGGAGGCCTCAGAGTGTGTAGGATAATGCATTATTAGTTATTCTGTATACTGCTTAAATTTGTAGATTGTTTCTTATTCAAGGTTGATGTTCCTCAAGCGTAAAGAAGCAATTCGAAGGGAGAGGAAGAAAGACATGGAAGAGACACAGGCTTTAGAGTCAGAGTCCTGAGTTTTGATCCTATTATCTAAACGTCTAACTCTCAGTGTTAGTGAACTTCTGTGACTTTCACCTTCCTTGTGTATTTGGAGATGATATTTGCTTTTCAGAATTATTGGGAAAATTAAATGAGAAAATATATAAAATTGCTTTGAATGTGGTAGGTATTCAATAGATGGCAGTTTTACAGATGTTCCTTGACCTACCATGGGTTTATCTGGATAAGCTGAGGGGTGTACTGAATGCCTATCGCTTTCACACCATCTTAAAGTTGAAAAATCCTAACTTGGGAACCATCTGTATTAACATTTATGGCTAATGAGAGCTTTAATAGGTGGATGCCACTGCCAGAAACAGCTACTTGAGAAACAGGCTGGAAACAATGTGCAGAGTTTACTTAATCCCATGATTCTTGAACTGTGATATGTGTAGTCCAGGGGTAAATAGCTGTGTGCCAAAGTGAACGAACTGGTATGTCATTTAGGAGGTCAATTTTATTTGAGAAAAAAAAAATTGAGAAACTATTAAGTTATTAGTAATTTAAAACATTTAAAAAATAACATGGATATTCTATGGAATAAAATTCAAAGTTAAACATCTTAAGTAAAAAGCACAAGACTTCAAATAAATTTTAGTTTTGCAGCAGACAGCTCCAAAATATTCTGCCAGCCTTCCGTTTCACCACCGTTCTGCCCCAAATTCCAGAGTGCTCACCCTTCATGGCTGTAGGGAATATTCTGATGAAAAGTTGAGAAGGATTAATTTAATCTATCCTCTTACTGCTGCTTTGTAAAGGTAACCACTCAAGGAAAGACAAGCTGAGAGGATATATTCTAGGTGCTGCCAGCTCCTCTACTAAGTGATGTGGGAGTGTCACATGGAGGGCAGTGACGTCAAATCGTGTTGACTCTGAACCCATACACCTGCCTTGCTAACTTCTCATGCTCATTTCTGAATGCCTGGTCCTCATTTGTGGGTTCTGTTTGAGGTGGCATCTATTCTTTTTGGCTGCCAATCATCCAATCCATCCTTTCTTCTGCTGATAATAGCTCCTGTTTTTTCTCCACCCTTCTCCTACTTGGTCTGTGAGTCTTGGCTGTGACTAGTCCTGACCCCTGGATTCAGGGTAGCCACGTGACTGTAGTCTGACCGTAAACTTATGCCTTTCTTTGTGGCTCCTGTGGTGCTTTCTTTTCCCTGAACTTGAACCTGTGAGGATATAAGCCTGGAGCTGCCCGATGCTTCTGTCAGTGAATGAAGCTATATAGACTCATAAATTATGTCCCTTATTTGTTTTGTTTTGCCTTAAGTTGTAGAGTTGAGTTTTCTTTTATTTGTATCACTCTGCATCTGTATTTACTCTTGCCTTTTCTACCCTAATCAGTTATAAGAACTACCTACCTGTCCTTATTGCAAAGATTAATATTTACTTCTTCATGCTTCATGCATTTGTTTATTCACTCATTTATACTTATAAAGTTTATAGAATACCTACTGTGGCAGAGCTGGTAATTGTATACTCATTCATTTCCACTTTTTTTTTTTTTTTGCCAATTGAACTGCAAGTTTATTCACAGCAATGATGTGCCACCTGAGGCCATGGGTCATGATTGATCTAACGTTTTAACTTAATCATGGGAATCCTGTTCTAGGTGAATCACACCAATCCCATCCTCTCCTTTCCCAGCCTTCCTTCTAGCTAGTGGTGGCCATGTGGCCCAGTTCTGGCAAATGACACCTCTTAGTGGAAGTTTGCTGGGAGAATTCTGAAAAAATTTGCTATACTGATTAAACAGCATATGCACAATTTGTACAACTACCTTCCTCCTCCTTCCTGTGACTGCGATGTGCAGAGCTGCAACCACTATCTTACAACCATGATGCCCCCCAGGTATGAGAGAGAGGCCAAGAGAGTCACAGAGAAGCCAGCCTTGACATTGTTGAGCTAATGAAACCCCACCAGTAGCCACTTCCCTCAAGACTTTTTATATGATAATTACAAACCTCTATTTGTTTAAGCCTGTGTTAGCTTTCTGTTACTTTTAGTGGACAGCATTCCTAAAAGACACACCCAGCAATAAACAGCAAGGGGCTAAATGCTGGAAATAGATAAATGATAAAGATATGCCATTTCAAGAAGTTTAGCACAGAACTATTCAGTTAGTACAGTGTGATGATGTAATTGCTACAGAGTATAGACAAGGCCCCAAAGGTGCCCAACAGAAGGCATGCTTGAAAGACATAAGCCTTGAGCTGACCCTTACATGGAAATGAGGGTTTTCTAAGTGGACCTTGGCATGAGGTTGGGGACTAGAGCAGTCCATGGAAGCTGGAACAACACGTACACAGGGCTGGCTCAGTAGCTATAAACAGTTGTAAGTGATAAAATGTGAAGGAGAAACCAGTAGCAGGAGACAACTCTATACAGGTATACAGGGGCCAGATCTTAAGGATCCTTTTTTTCCATGCTAAGGAATTTAGAATTAATCCTGTATGTCAGTGAATCAGCACCTGTATGAGTCACCCATGGGCTTTAATAACAGTTTCTCAGACCCTAGCCCAGACCCACTGCTTTGGAATCTATGTGTTAAATCCCAGGAATCTGTATTTTTGAGAAGTTTTGCAAGTGATATTGGTTAAGAATTAATCATACAGATGATAAGATAGTGAAAACTTTTGGTCAGGGGAATGACAAAATCAGATCTGTCTTTTAGAAAGATCCAGTTGTGTGCCTATCACATTTAATGCACAGAATACATCATTTTTTAACAACTGCCTCCTCTATATGACAACATTAATTTTAGTAATATTTTTCTGATTATTTTTTTAAAAATTGAAAAATAAGAATAAATTTTAATTTTAAAGATATTATTCAAATTCAATAAAATAGTTTCTGTATGAGCTTAAAATTTACACCTATGAAACAAAACCTCAGTGTCTGTACTCTTTTCACTGTTTGAAACATTAAACACAAATCCAAACTCCAAGTGGTCAGTTAGAATGACTAACAGAAGTAACTCGAGTTCTGTTTATTCATCTTGAAATCCCTATACTGTCATTGTTTGTTGTGAATCTCCTTTAGCAGTCCTTGTGTTGTACAGTTCTGATGGACAAGAATTTCAGTTATCACAGTTTAGTTAAATAGCACCAGTCCTGCAACAACAAGGTTTCACATTTCAATTACCAGTTCAGTTTATTAACTGTGAGTAATTGCATGAAATACACTTTACAGCCAGCTCTTCAGCTCACAAATCACTACATAAATAAAAGATGCACATCATGATTGGTGACCAATCATGACACTTCTTTAAGAATCTGTTCGTGACTGATCACCAAGCATCTGTTATGCAGTACATGCACAGATAGTACAGTGTGTAGTTGTGTTGCATCCTTGTTGTCCAGTGATAGTCCACAAGATGTTTTTACAAAAATGCATAGTCAAAACGGTATATTGGTCAACAAAGATGAAAGTGTAACAAAGGAACAAAAATGATAATGCTAGAAATGAAACTGACATCAAACATGAATGGAGTTTTAGAAGAAATAGCTGACCCTGGGAATGCTGACACAACCATCATTTGAGACTTAGATATGCAGCCAGAGGAACTTGGTGAAGGTAAATTTATGGACATGAATTTGGCAAGTGGATGTGACAAAAAATATAAAGATGTTCCTGAGGAAGTGATACTAGGGACTTCACATGAAGGGGACTCTTGGAGATATTTCATGATATTGAAAATGCAAAGGATAAAATTTTGGAACCTGATTCAAACTTCAAAATAGGATAACAATTTGTCAAGGGATAGAAAGAAAAAGCTCATTCCAAAAATAAGTTATAGGAGAAGAAGAAAGAAAACACCATTCGAACTACTCTTGGTAAGAAATAAAACACTAATTCACAATGTTTCTAATGTTTTAAATTACAGTGTACTAAACAAATATCAATTTTACTCTTTTTCATTTCTCTATTCATTTAGAACTGAGAGTAAGAGAGCTTTTAATGTCTCAACCAAAAAGTTTAGAAGTCACAGAAAAATCTTACTTCTACCTTTTGATGATAAAGATCTTTTTGCATGGTTTCCACTTACATGACAATTTTTTCAGTTCCACAGTGCTGTGCAAACCAAAGACTGCCTGTATTTAAAAGTGGGAATGTATGACACTTAAGAGGCTAGACATAAAAACTGCTCTTGAAAGGAGTTTGAAAAATACTTGAATTGTTACAAGCTTACGAGGGAAACACATTTTAAGGTGTTGACTGTACAACTGGAAATTCTCTGATTACTTTCTCTGTAAAAAATGTTTATGAAAATAAAATGTCTACTAAATACACAATTTAACATGTGCTAATTTGAAGCTGATGTATATAATGTTAAAACTCATTAGTAATCACAATTGTTTAGAACTTAGGCCAAGAAAATATTTTGGGGGTAGTAGTAACGTATCATTGATGTTGTTTAGACTCACATACCCATGGATATGATAAAAGGCAGACTGACTTTTAGTTTTATTATTGTTTTAAATTCCCTTTGTATTTGCCCACCTTATGGCTTGCACTGGGGTGAACTGCTCCCACTGTCCTGCCATCGGTACGCCACTAGAAACATCACTGGAGAAGCACTGTGGTGGAGGATGACATGAAGGCAGTGAGACAGAAGCCGGATATGTACATAGGAATGGCAGAGAGACCGATTAGGAGATAAGCTGAGGCAGTCACAGTGGAAATGAACCTATTTTAGGCTATTGGTCTTTGTCATGATGACCAAGTTTAATTCCTGCCTGAGATGACCACTACCTCTTACAATTTCTGCAACAATCTATCTCTTTCAGACCCATCCTTCTGTAGTGGCACTGCTGATTATTCTAAATCTCCCCTGAACTTAGCTGTGAACCTGCTGAATGTCCTTTACCCTATCACTGACCTCTAGCTCTCCCCTACCCAAATTTGACCCTCAAGGAGATTTGGCCATGTCCTCAGTTGGATCTGACAGTCTAAAATCACAGCCTATTATTCTTACAAATTATAAGTGAAAGAGATTCTAGATTCCCTTATATTTAGCTTCTTTCAGAATCTACTAATTTTGGAAGCACAGGTTTTGCCCCCATCTCTGTCCTAAGATGTCTTTTTTTCTGGAGACGAGTACTCTTATTTTTCTTTCAGTTCATCATTCTGAAACCAGCCCAATTATCCCATAGAACTGAGGTTTATGGCTTCTTTTGAGTAAACATAGAAATTGATTCTCCCAGTCTTAAAACTTGAGAAAGTTTCATTTGTCTTATCTGAGTTCCTTTCTCAGGGAATCAACCATCAGTCCTCCCAGATTATAATAAGGAACTGAAACTTACCAGATCATCACATCTGGATAATAAGATGCCAGACCCCTCACTCAGCGTGACTGCCTAATGGGCCACTTGCTTCCTGTTGAACAACTCCTCTTCCTTACCCCTTCCTAATTTCTGTTTTCCCACACAGGGTTACACTTATTTCCTGCATATAAACCCCCAATTTTAATCAGTCATGGAGATGGATTTAAGACTGATCTCCCATCTCTTCAGCTGCAGCACCTGATTAAAGCCTTCTTCCCTGAAAATACTTGTTGGCTCAGTGATTGGCTTTCTGTCTGATGAAGAGCAGGACCTAGACAGGACCACTCATGTTTTGGTAACAATTCTACAACAACCTTTTCTGAATTTGATTCTTTCATCACACTGAAGACACATGTATGTTAATTGTATATCTGAACATCCTGGGTAAAGCATGACAACAATAAACAATAAAAATCCAGAATTATACTGGTATAATTAGGCCAGAAATTATAAATTAATTGCCTTTAGTACAAATTAATATCACAGATAATTCATTTGGCCCATGCAGTGTTTTACATTTTCTTGAACCAATGCTAATATTTCAAAACCTTCATGACAAAAATCAGGCTTTTCTTCTTTTTCTTAAAAAATACCCATTACATTTCCACAAGGTAGCAGTCAATTGGTGCTAATGGTCACCACTACTTTTAAACAGGGTCTGTCTAAACTTGATTTCTATTTTCCTTGATTCCTGTTTTGTGATATCTGCTTAAACCTGGTAGACACTTGAGTTTGTAACTCATTATTTGAAATTTAGAGACTTAATTCTTATCAAGAGCAACATTAGCCAAAACTATTTTCTTCAGAATAAATAACCAGACTCTTGACTGTCTACTTCTCCAAAGATCAGCTAATAAATTTAGATTTGATCAACATGTTTATCTTGTGGTCTTTTCAGATCTCAGCACCCGTATATAAGAACAGAGTCAGTTTTGCTTGGCTTTGGAGGAGAATTTGAATGAAAATGCAGAAGGACATGTCTCTTCCCAATTATGTGAGTAGAAATAAGTATTTGAAGAGTATGTTTTAATTTCCTAAACAGTCAACTATAGTTAGATGTTGCCACAGCCTTCACTAGTCCAGTCTATGATGGTGTAGTATCTGGCAGTTGATCTACAATTGTTTATGTGTTCTTCCTGAGGTCTTCTCCAGCTTGACTTCTCATCTGTTCTGGACACCCAATAATTTAAACCACTCATACATATTCTTTGCAAATTAAAAAAAAACAAAGTCTGCATAGTCATAAGGTGGCAAAACTTATTACATAGTCAGCTTACCTAACCAAACAGACTGCTAACCTTCTTCCTCTGAAATAGCTAACATTTGGGTTATTTCACTGCACTTAGGTTTTCCGCAAAAGTGAAAAATATGTACTTGTATTATATTTGCATAACTAAGATGTCTATTGTGTTGATTTTCCCAGAGCAAAACAACTTTTAATTCAAAGTTTCTTATTTTAGGAAACATACTGAAACTTGCTCTCACATGAACAAAATTAAATAAAATTTTCTTTTAGAATAGTTTTGGTTTACAGAAAAGTTGCAAAGATAGTACAGAGAGTTTACATGTACTCCTCATCCAGTTTCCCCTGTTCTGAATGGTATATTTGCCACAACTAAGGAACCAGCATTGGTGAGTATGATGAATGTCCCACTTTATTTGGATTTAACTGTTTTTTTCCTAACAGACTTTTCTTTTCCAGGATCCAGTCCTTTTTTCTCTCTTCCAGGATCTCATTACATAGACAACACATTACATGGAAAACACATTACATTTAGTTATTATGTCTCTTTAGACTTTGCTTGGCTGTGATAAGTTTCTTAGATTAAAAAACATTTTTTTGATGACTTTGATAATTTTCAGGAGTACTGGTTGGATATTTTGTGGAACTATCTAAATTTGGGTTTGTCTGATGTTTTCTTTTTACAATCAGTCTCGGATTATGAGATTTTAGAAATAATGCCACAGAGATAAAGTGTCCTTCTTATCACATAACATCAAGTGTAGATGCTATCAACATGACTGGTCAATGATGATGTTAACCCTGACCACCTGTCAAGGTAGTGTTTGCCAAGTTTCTCTACTGTAAATTTAGTCTCCCTACTCCCCAGTACTTGAAAGCAAGTTAGTAAGTGCAGCCCATATTCAAGGGATGGGAAGTTAAACTCTGCTTCCTTGAGGGATAAGTATCTATGTAAATTATTTGGAATTTTTCTACATGGGAGATTTGTCTCTTCTCCCCCTTTGAATAATCTCAGGTTAATTCATGTATACCTTTGGCAGGTCCCCATCATTTTGTTTACTTAGCACTTCCTTACTTTCTGGTACTACGTGGTGTTCCAGGGTCATTTGTATATTTTCTGTCTCAACCTTAGAGTCAGTCATTTCTCAAGGAGCCCCAGTTCCTTTCACTGGAGAATGGTGTTAGAAACCAAGATCTGGGCATTGGGTGTGCTCATTCATCCTGGGATGTTATTGCTTCTAGAAGGCCCTCTCAGAGGGCAGAGCTAGGAAATATATGTATGTATACTAACCCATGTGTTCACACATATACACAATCATTTCTGTATTTATCTGTCTGTATATATTTTAAGTTAAACATGAATTCACACTGATGTCTTTGACCCCAAGCCCATACCACATGTTTCATTCTGACTTCCAACTTCTATAACCTCTCAGCAGAGAGAAACCTGGATCCCACTATCTACCATCAATTTACTCATTTGTTCAATCCCAGTATAAGATTTTCTTATCTCCCTAGTTTCTATTTATTATAGGTTCAAGTGATATATTGGGGCTTAATCTCAGATAGGAAAACCCTTTTAGTTCTTTCAATGATGTAAACAGCAAAGCATAATTTGGCCACACTGCAAAATAAAACCCTCAGCATGTTTTCTTAATTCGTTGAAATAGATAAGTATGCATTAGCAGTTAACACATCTGTGAACACCTGGGATGCTATGAATGTTAATTAGGGATATCAGGTCTAGAGGATTTATGAAGGCAAGTGATTAAACAGGTAAATATAGATTTTAGTCATTCAATATTTCAATACTACAAATTTTGTTTTTGTGTAAAACAGAAACCCCTTGGGAACTTTAGCCCTACTCATTACTTGTTTGCAAAAAAAGATTTTTATAAAAAGATATTTTGTAAATTTGCACAAATGATATTTTATCCTTTGGGAGTAACAAAAACAAAGGTGAATGATACTGCAGTGAGATAGCATAAGTTTTGGGTATACTGAAGTATTGCATTAAGAGTTGTTTGAATGCAGAAACAACTTAATGTCTTTCTGGAGTAAAATAAATTTCAGATTTTTTGGAAAAATGCTAATGCAAACATATTATAAAAAGTTTTTTCTATCATTAGACAGAAGCACCTACGATAATGACTGTGCTTCTGGGTAGGCCTACAGTGCTTTTGGAAGAATTGATCATGTTCTCCATTGTAAGTTCTCCTGTGGGTGCTGTAACTGTATCAGATGTGGGGGTGTGATGCTACCTTTAGTGCAGAGAGATAAAGGGATAATATTAACAAATGAAAGGAAACCATCGAAAAGAAGCCGAAGAACACCTCTAAAGTTTGCAGTAATGTAAAGTATTGATACAACATGGTATATAAGATGGGACTATGATGCTAAGAAATAATTCCTTGAAACTGTTTTTAAAAATGTGGCTTATAGCCTTTTGCTGTAATTAGTGATCATTTTGTCTAAAGCAATAGCCAGCTAGACTGGTGAATGACATTGGGTAATTATAAATGGCAACATTAATTTTGTTTTTTTTTTTTTTCTCATCACATATCTGTCTAGGTTTATTTCTAGAGATTTTATTTTTATATTTAGTTTTTTTGGTCTTCAGGAAAGCTTTATTAGGATTTATTTGTTTCTTTTCTTTATTTTTTATTTCAATAGGTTTTGGGGGAACAGGTGGTGTGTAGTTACACAAATATGTTGTTTAGTGGTGATTTCTGAGATTCTGGTGCACCCATCACCCAAGCAGTGTACACTGTACCCAGTGTGTAGTCTTTTATCCCTCACCTCCTCCCACCCTCTCCCCCGAGTCCCCAAAGTTTGTTGTATCATTCTTATGCCTTGTGTCCTCATAGCTTAGCTCCCACTTATGAGTGAGAACACACAATGCTTGGTTTTCCATTTCTGTTACTTCATTTAGAATAATGGTCTGCAATTCCATCCAAGTTGCTGGGAGTGCCATTACTTCATTCCTTTTTCTGGCTGAGTAGTAGTCCATGGTATATATACACCACATTTTCTTTATCCATTTGTTGATAGATGGGCATTTGGGCTGGTTCCATATTTTTGCAACTACAAATTGTGCTGCTATAAGCATATGTGTGCAAGTATTAATATCTTTTTCATATAATAACTTCTTTTCCTCTGGGTAGATCCCCAGTAGTGGAATTGCTGGATCAAATGGTAGATCTGCTTTTAGTTCTTTAAGGAATCCCCACGCTATTTTCCATAGTGGTTGTACCAGTTTACATTCCCACCAACAGTGTAAAAGTGTTCCCTTTTCACCACATCCATGCCAACGTCTATTATTTTTTTATTTTTTGATTATGACAATTCTTGAAGAATTAAGGTGATACTGCATTGTGGTTTTGATTTCCATTTCCCTGATCATTAGTGATGTTGAGCATTTTTTATATGTTTGTTGGCCATTTGTATGTCTTCTTTTTAGAATTGTCTATTCATGTCCTTAGTACAGTTTTTGATGGGATTGTTTTTTCTTGCTAATTTGTTTGAGTTCTTTGTAGATTCTGGATATTAGCCCTTTGTCAGATGTATAGATTGTGAAGATTTTCTCTCATTCTGTGGGTTGCCTGTTAACTCTGCTGATTATTTCTTTTGCTGTGCAGAAGCTTTTTAGTTTAAGTCCCATCTATTTATCTTTGCTTTTGTTGTAATAAATGGAAACATTATACTTTCAAGTTGGGTCTTGGTGGTATCTCCAGTTTGGGACTTTTTAATCCATTAGGTTGCCAACACCTGTTTCTGTTGGGAACATATTTACTGCCCATCTTTCGTCATCTCATAATAGTTAGGGTTGAAAGGGTATTTAGAAACCCAAAGACTACTGGAGAAAGGCTTTGAGAAGGAAGCTACCTGGGTTAGGTTAAGTTAAATTAGATAAGAATACATGAAATGAGCAAAGAAGATATATGTGAGCTAACATGGAAATCTCTAACAGAGATATTGAAATTAAATAAAGAAAATTTCAGAAAAAAATGCTTACCTGGATTAAAGGGAGAGACTGGGGGATCATGTGGAGAAACTTAACCTAATTTTTGTGGTATATTCCTACAACATTTGATATAGTTTTGAAACCTATTCCATATTTTATAATGAATGACTTGTGAAATAAACAGCCTTATCAGGCTACTTTGATTTGGATAATAACAAACTGACTGACCAGATGAAACTAGTGCAATAGTTTGAATTAGTACATTCTCAGGCTGTGTGATTGTGTGCCCATTACTGATCTTACAGTCATCACTTTGGGAATCAAAAATGAATTACAGAAATTAAAATACTGATGTGCCTTTCTAGCTGTTAAAAACTGAATCTTTCAAAAGTATGGTTCATCTTTGTTACAATAAAATGGGTTTTAAAATATTTCTTATTGATGTGTCATGAATCTGTCAAATTTGATAAGTACAAAAATTGATTTTATTTCTTTATTCTCAGTGGTGAAATTTTTCTTTTATTATTTCAAGCCAAGAAAATAATGTTTTATATTATACTAGTAAATACTTCCAAAATATGATGTTTACATAATGATTTACTTTTTACTAAGTATTTGCACAACTATTATTTCATCTGGAGTCTCCAAACAAGAGAAATGTTAAAATCTAAAACATTTGTTCTTAGAAATTCTGAAATGATAGGGTCTTTTTAAATGTTTTATTAACAATTTTTCTCTTCAGGCATTTTATCTTCTAACCCCAAAGTATGTTATATTCTTATAGTTT